AAAAAAAAAAAAAAAAGACGACTTACAGTAATATTAGCATTTTTTAGGCAATAACTTGCTAAAAACTCTGGTACCTTTTTAATTTTGAATTTTAGAACAGAGAGGGAGAGGGAGATTTGTCTTTTTAAAAAAAAAAAAAATCTCCCTCTCCCTCTCTGTTCTAAAATTCAAAATTAAAAAGGTACCAGAGTTTTTAGCAAGTTATTGCCTAAAAAATGCTAATATTACTGTAAGTCGTCTTTTTTTTTTTTTTTTTAAGTCACTTTCACTAATGTGAAAGTACTACTTTCATAAAAACCAGGATGTCAGTTTACTTCCATGAAGAGACCTGAACAACATTTCCCAAGAGCCTTATTAAGTACGGCTGCACTGAGATTTTTTGGGCCAATACAGATAGCCAATTTAAGGAGGCATATCAGCCAATACCAATCGGATTTCTGATGTGCAGCCCAGCAGCCTGAAGAGCAGTGTCTTGCTGGTAAGTCTGTTGTGGGGGAAAGGAAGGGGTGTGGTGGGGTGCAGATTGAGGTCCCAGCAGCAGCAAGGCAGGGAGTGGGGCTGGGCAGCACCTACCCAGCCCGGACACAGCCATAGCATAGAACCACAGCTCATCCAGGAGCAAGTGGGGTGGCTCCCACTGTTGCCTGCACCCCAGGATCCCTAGCCCCAGTCTGCACCACACCGCCCAGATCCAGGGGCACATACACTCCGCATACCATCCTGGGGTGTGCAGCGGCAGGAGCCACTGCCGCCCCCCCCCAGACAAGCTACAACTCTGTCCCACACCCTAACCCAACTGGGTAGTGCCTGCCCCAGCCCCACTCCCTCCCTCACCGCAGGGACCTTGACGCCCCTTCTCCATGCCCCTTCCCTTCCAGCACATCCAGCACAACAGGCTTACCAGCTGGACACAGCTCTCCAAGCTGCCAGCCTGTGCTCCTCACCATCTATGTGCTGCGCTGCGGCTGTGCACATGCAGCATTTATCAGCCACACCAGGCAAAAAAGCTGATTTCCAATACAGTCAATTGTTTTTATATTGGTGCACCTTTATTATTAAATGGTTCTGCAGACGCATTTGTTTATAAATCTAACTCGACTTCTGCAAATGCACTCCTCCCTATTCCCCATTCATTCCAATTTAGTTTCAAGCATGCACAGGCTCTTCAGGATAGAAGTATGTGTGTGCTACTTCACATACTGAAGTCCCAATGCTTGAAGCTGTAGATGAGCAATTCTCAGCCTTTGGAGACTTATGGCACACTTCTATAAGTTCTTCTGAGTTTAGTGGTACACCTTTTCAAAAACTCCCCCCCCCCACTATGGTAGCTCTATACATGCAGGGGTGTGTGCTTGCAGAGGCACGAATTTGTGCCGCTGCATGTGTACTTCGGGATACAGCAAGTTGTCCTAGGTAGGGGTAGGGGAAGCTAGGACCAGCACCTGCGCTGGCTCCAGAAGTATTACCTGGTTTACAGATCTAGCAGCACAGAGCCTGGATGGCAGCTAGAGCTTTGTTTGCACAGCCAGCTCTCCATTTGTTGCAGCGCACAGTACTGACATGTGCTCTGCCACCAATTTTTTCCCCTGGGAGGGGATTTCTTGTTTTTGTTTTGCTGCTAGAATTTCCTGGTAGGTTTTCACATTTCCTGGGTGCAGTTTGTGGCACCAGCTGCATACCCCTGCACATGGGGACCCACCCAGAAAAGCAGAGTAATTAGTTTGTTACAAGAAAACCCTCAAAAGGCAACAGGTTGGAAGATTTGACACTATGGTTTCTTTTGAAACATCTGGATTTACACCTTGTGAATCATGCTGTTATTGCTCAGTACCCTCAAAAGGATCTCACAGCACCCTATTGATAAAGTCATTGTTCTAGATGTTTTACTATAAATTGTTCATTATTCTATTCTAATTTGTATTTACAATCAATTAGTATTTCTAGCAGTGAGTTTAAAACTTCAAAAACTATTGAATTGGTTCTGCAGTACCGTTGTAGTCTTGTACCAGGTTTGATTCTAATACTAACAGTTAAAGCAGCCATGGGTTTTTCACTAGTTTCCTCTTATTTATATGCCAAGGCTTATGTCCAGCACAAGTACACAAGCCTCTTCTTAAAAACTAGACCACAAAGAACGTAAATATTTCTATTAATCCAATGATTTTTGCTCCTGTAGAATGCCTGACAAGTAGATCAACATGAGTAATTGCTTTCAAGTTTGGGGAAGGATAGTAGTGGCTATGAAAGTCTTGAACCGGAATTGCCACAAAGGAGGTCATTCACGCTAAAATGAAGGCAGCAAGAAAGAGGCGGGGGAAAAAAGAAAGAGAAAAAAAAAAAAAAAAAAAAAAATCAGTAAAGTCATTGAGGAACGTTATTTAACTTGTCATGCTGAGAAAAAAAATGCAATTTGTATCATGAGTGTTTCCATTTCTACGGACAACTGTTTCAATGAAAGATAATTCCGGGTAATATATAGGAACATATCTTTAAACCACAGTTTTGACATTAGGACAGATTAACCAGAATTTAAATTATGTTTTTACAGTCAGAACTAATGAGTTATTTAGAAATATTCCAATTGAATAGCTGTCATAAATCAGTTTAGCTTTTGAAGTAATCCAAGGTAAAGCCCACATGCAGCTTTTATAACCCAAGGAGAGCAATAGCATATTTAAGTTTTCCTCTAAAACACATCCCTGGCATACAAGACTACATGAAGAAAAAGTCAAAGTTGTTTGTTGATAGCAGTGCTTGAAGTGACAGTAAAGCATTTCTATAAAAATAAGAACCAGTTAAATGCAAGATGTGATCAGAGATATATTTATCCCTTAAAAGAGGAACCAAGTACATTTTTATTTGATTTTTAAAATCAACCTAGAAGGCATTTAGTTTAGCATTACTCCCAACTGAAGAAGTTTGGAACAAAAAGCTATTGCATGCAAGGGATATGACCCCAGTTAAAAGAATCAACCAGCAAACTGTACTACACTGACTCAGAACAATAGTTCTGAGCCAAGATGACCATAAATTTCAAGATCTGTGCGTGAAATTAAATTCCACAACAAGGCATAAGTGTCCTAATTTGAATCAATTTTCAAACTTGCAAATAAGTAAAAAATTGAAACTGAATTTCAGACTGGGAGCAAAAAAATCTAGGAAGTCAAGAGATGATCTTAAATTAGAAAAGTTATTTTTTTCCCCCCCTTGCCTTCATATAAAAGTTTAAAAAATCATGCTCATCTGAATGCACGTAGAGACGTTTTATTATCTAAATGTTCTGGAGCTAGCAGTTAATTAAAGTTACACTAAATACTGACCAGAGATTACAAGTCCTACTCACGATTCACTTTCAAGACTCCTATGTTAAAGGTCTGTATTCCAGAAAAATGTACTGGATTCACTCTTACACTATTTAAGGTATTCACAACTCGTTAACTTTATCAGAACAAATGCCTTCAACAACGTTTGATAGCTGCTATTTGTTTTTGAATGAATTGGAAAAGTGCAAAGTCTCCAGAATTTCAGTTCAAAGCCATTCAACCCCATCACTCCACCCCCACCACCCACTTGTCCGCAGTCACCTCAGCCCATGCTGAAGCGGACCCAGGAGCAACCAACACTAGCTACCTGCACCAGGGCACGGTGCAGTCCAGCAGCAGAGGTGAGTGCGGACAAGCAGAGCCCAGACACAGAGGTGGGGGAAAGACACACAGGCAGAGCATGGTGCAGCCTAGCAGCTGCAGGCAGCTAGCACTGGCTGCTCCCGGGGCCACTGGGGCTGTGGTGAGTGGGGCCCACAGCCCTTTCCCCATCCCCCCCACAGACTTACCTGCTTGGGCACAGAGACATCTATGCTGATTGCATAAGAGTGAATTTACCTCACATAACAAATTATGGGTCTAAATATGCTCATCACATAAGAGCAAGTTTGCATATAGAGAACCTGCATAAAGAGGGAAGCCTGTACATCCACCGATACCCTACAAAGCCTAGTTGCAGAGTAGGATGATAGGCTTCCCCTGCCAGTTACAGGCCAGGAGACTTCCCTTAAATCCCTCTGCCAGACAACTCCTTAGTCACTTTGGGGCCGTCCTCAACTTGAAAACTGCCAGGATTAAAGGGTACCAATCCTTAACAGGGAAAGAAAAAAAAAAGGAAGTTCCATTTCTCTTCCTTCTCTAGAAAACTCTGCTAAATAAACTGTCAGCTGCTTCAAGAACCCCTCCCTCTCCAAGCATCCAGACCCAGCACCGGATAGCAGGTTTGGCTGCAAGTTATAGTCCATCTCATATGCTTCCACTTAAACTAGGATCACTTTATGAATTCCCTTGTTTCATGTCATCAGGTAGACAGGCTAAGTGTACTAAGCCAGTGGTTTCCTACTAGTCCTCCTCCATTTGACAAAAAAGTGCAATGAAAAGGTTTCAAACTATTTTCTAGAGCTCATAAATAATTGTGAATATTACATTTACTAAAGACCAGTCCCATGATGATTTCTGCAAGTACAGACTACTTGCATTTGGATTCCTTGTATACAAATGTCTACCAGGAGCAAGAAATCCAACCCATCTGTAAGACATTTTTCTCTGGACACAGCTAGCAGATACTATGAAAGTCAGCAAGAGAGAATGGACAAATAGAGGGGGAAAAAAAAGTGGGAAAAGATGCAGCAAATAAGCCATATCACAATAACTTAAGAATGATTAGTCTTAGACTACTCTCGATCCACTTACCTTTGATAAACCATCAGTATTGTGATTCTTCCATAAAGAAAAAAGTTAACCTAAGTATAAAGACGTCCATCAAACATCCATGGTAAATTTTTTGGGGAAGCATTTCATTCCATATTTTCTTGTGTAGTATTCCTACAGTTTTCTTCCTTACAACAAAT